ATTTAACATAAAGAAAAACGTGCCGTTACGGCTGTAGAAGCGTGAGCGATAACAATGGGTCGTAAGTCTACAGCACTGCTGCATTTTCACAGAAAATCTCTCAATAAGGTGATCTTTTGCTTTTCATTCTTGCGCTCTTCCTTTCCACTTCAATTAAAACAAAGCCCCTCTAGACATTATTATACAATATGCCTCATCTACCCGGTGACTTATAAGGTGCAAGCTTTTCTAATAGCTCTTGTAACAAACACCTCTTGAACTTTTGTTACCGAAGAACTTGCAACGTTTAACCAGCGCACTGTGTCTCACCCAAATCGATGATCAAGCAGTACAATAGCTGTCGTGTGGCATTTGTTTGTAGTGAATGGTACGAAAAAGCGTTTGCGAGTCGCGGTACAGCCTGTATCTCGTGCATCAAAGCGCAGAACCAACATCTACGTTCTTCGTTCCGCGCTCACTCTCGTCATGCAGATCTGACAAGAACTAAGTGTCACCATTGCCGCTGCCAGATACGCCTTCTCGTGTTGCCGCTGCCGCACTTAGGCGACGGCGACGGCGGTAATTGGATGTAATTCATCGCTTGGCCGACCATCGGTTTCGGCGACCTTTTGACACTGTATGTTCTTTTGTATCCCTTTCGTTTTCTAGCCCATAGAATCTACGGCGAGTGCAACGTCAGCAATAAACAGACACCACCGTGTGCCTCATACGTCTTAGCTTACTTAGTTATTCTATCTTTTATTGCCGCTTGCATACTCAAGTTAACTGTACATATTTCTCAGTGAGGCAGAATAGAAGACTACTGGCTAACCTATGAAAAGAGAGCCCCGTCGACGTCGCTTCGCGACCCACAATTGGTTGGTCGGCCAATGTCCAAAAACCATCTGGAACAGCGAGCGTCAGACAGACGAAACGACTGGCAAATGACCAGGGGCTCAGCACCCCTCCATCTCTCTCTTCAGCCACCAAGCGAATGGAAAATACAGTAGCACCGCATAGATACACAGCACGGCACATAACGTATAACCGACATACATTTATGCGCAGACAGATACACTAGATGTAGAATGGCGACAGTTTGCGGGTGCCCGTACGCGGTGACGCTCTCCTTTCGCGGGTATTCGCCGTTTTGTTAGGTACGACAATTCTTGAAACATCTCCCCATCCTCATTCTCCGACAGTGCCCTTGCTAGGCACACCTCCTAGTGGACTCGTGTTCTCCTCGGAAGTTCGATGAACTTCAGTATCGTTGCAGGAACGAAGGAACGATTGATTTTCCAAAGCGACGCATTGACGCAAAGAAGACAGCGGGGAACGCGGTACTGTAGAGGATGTGTAGACATAGCAGTATGAATGCTAAAAAAATTCGCAAGAGGGTTTTAGTGGAAAACACAGCAGGCTTAGGTGTAATTAAGTGTCTCCTGTTTTTTTTTTTAAAGAAAGAGGAAAACACTGCAAATTAAGATCCGGTAACTCATGCGTTTGCTTTAATAAAAATTACGCTGACATTAAATGAAAAAACAGTTGTAAAACGTATAATTCTTTACATCGATAATAGTTCATGGAATAATTGTCACTATGAGTAGTGGCGTTTTATCGTTCGGATGTGATTGTCTCGATTATACTGACCGCCAAAACTTATTCTGGTTTTTCCTTTACCTTCTCTATCTATTGAATGTTTCATAGATACTTTTGGAAATTGGCCACAGCTGTTCTTCCGATAAACTAATTACAATTGCACTCATAATAATAGCTATCTGTGTGTTTACCAGGTATCTCAACAGATGATTGAAGCTCATAGCTGGTTCGATAGACACGATTCATCCTAATAGTAAGTATCGACATAATCCGTCCATCTCATAAGATTGGGTCGTAATACCGACGGCTTGACACCGACTTCAGTATAATGCAGTACCGCCCCTCGAGCTGAATTTACTTCATTGCGAACAGCTGTGATACATAATAACTTAGCAGGGCTACGTCGCAGTTTGCTCCCTTTGGACTTACGCGCATATGCCATGAACAGATGCGAGCCTATTACAATAGTCACTTTTCAGTGGAGCAATCAAGCGCATTTCCCGCTTCGCCCAATCTTATCCCTTTCTCAGGCCATATCGTTTTTTCCCTTCTCAAATGGATATACGTAACACTTGGTCGCGATACACATGCGCATCAACTTCGGTCATTCTTCCGTGGCCACATCTTGCGGTAAGTGTGTAAAAATACGCACTGCACATTGTGCCGTTTATATTAGCGCAGTCAACTATTATCATTATATAAGCTATAGGTTTGCTATGCCCCAGCCAAAAATACAATGGCCATTTTATCATCGAATGGTAGCCGAACGAGCAGACTCCAGGCCATAGCACGAATACACAAGGAGTGTCCGACAAGGGGTAAATGTGCTCGTGCTCGTTTGTTACGTTTCAGTTGCACGCCATTTTATTGTTGATGTTCCGAGGCGGTGCTACGTGATCAAGTTAAAGTGATAGATTGAAAGTTATAAGTGATAATACAAACACACAGACCAATGTGTGTCTAGTTGCCTCCTAGGTTTAAGATATATTTTGGCGGAAGTAGAACACGTTGGAGAACTGGGCTTTCAAAACGTGCACTTTCGAGAACATAATCTTAAGTGGACAAGCTTGATCTGGACGAAAAGCGGTACGTCTACAACCATCGCACAATCTGTCGCTAGGCTTCTTTTGTTGTTCTCCGCTGATGATCAAGCATTTTCGAGTTTATTTTTAGCGAAAATGGCCGTCACCGGTCGGTTTAACATCGATAAAAAGAACGACACTGGCAAAAGCTGTAATGACAATGAATACCGCCCGACGACATGTCTAATTCCATGTGACAAAAAAACAAATACGCTTTATACTAAACCTACTCGGTTCTGCAGGAGCGTAAAATGATGATTTTGGCTAGCATGATTAAGAACACGTCGCGTTTTTGCATGGCAAGCAGGTGTTACCATTCGTGTAACAAACCAAGATAAAACCCTGATCCTTTTTATTGTCTCGTTGGCGCTCGGGAACAGTTAATAGGTATTCTTCAAAACAGCCCAATTGACTTTTTCAATGGTCTGGGCTTTCTTTATAATGTATTAGCTTTGAGAGCACGGTCGTTTTATTTCCGCCTCGCGCACACACAGGAGCATCTAATTGACGAGCGGGTCCTATGTTTAAAATGGAACGTAATTAACCAATGGTGACAAATAACAGCTTTAACAAGCATTATCTTCTATGATCTCTGGCCAGACCCAGATGACAAAACTGAGTCGTTCCTCTAGTCTAAAGCAGCCTCCCAAATAGAGCTTAACGGGGTAATGCGGAAGTTATTTTTGCAAACAAGCCAGCATAACTGCACATAAGCATATGCCTATGCCTTCGAGTAATTTGAGCTTTATTTCGAACCGCTGCCTTTCGTAGTGAGCGTATTGGCTATGTTTTTCGCACGCGGATGGCGTAGCGTTGGTACGAGGTGACGAGTTTTGTACTAGGCAGAAAAATCACATCGGATAGACTCAGAGCGATTCTGATCTGCTTTTGCAGACTGTCGCCCGCCCGGACGTTAGCAGAAAGAGGTCTGCATAAACGAGCGAACGTGGATGTTGATGCCGGCCATCTAAGATGAGAGGGGACTATCGACATTCCTGCGCAATCGACCGAGAAAAGCAACTCCGCATCTTGCACGCATCCGCTGGGGACTGGCTGTCGTCCAGCAACATCGAATCCGCCTGCTGAACATAGTAAGGAAACGCTAGGCCTACTATCAGCCTGAACAGATTGTATGTGTAGCACTTGAAAAAACGGCTGAAACTAGCAGGCAACACAACAGCTTCAAAGCGAACTCATACGAAGGGCTTCTCCAATGAAACTTCAAACTTTAAGGACGACCCGCAACAATGACACTGTCTAATTCTGTATTTTACCTACAGTTTACTATATAACGATAAACGTAAATAAACAAATGAATAAAAAAATAAAATAAACTGAAAATTTTCTACGGGCGGCAAAGGTAGTGGAATAGTCTGAAAAAATCGAATAAAAATTGATTCCTGTTGTATAGGTTCAGCTGTATAGAGTTAATTATTTAGAATTATGTTATTGTGTGTGTGTATTGAAGATAGCTTTTAGCTTTTCGTATTGGGTGCACTGAAAATTGCCGTGTACGTATTCGCATATACGGGATATGTTGCGTATATATCGAGGTGCCGATACAGCTTAACAAACAAGGCGTTTTCTCAACGAGAATATTTAGTTAATTACCGTAAGTTGAAATGGTATAGTAGATATCGCTTATGGATTATACAATAAATCCTATCTCAATTGTGACCACATGCCACTGTAGACCAGAGTCTGCAACTCGCCGAAAACAGAAAAAACCTGAGCTTGTTTCGCTGTAGCCCAAAAACAAAGCATCGTGATTAAGCATGCTTGTTATTATAAAATTGGGATCATTCGTGTAAAGCTAACGACCCGTTCTTTACTGCGGTTTTGCTCGAGAGTCCATAAGGTTGGCGAAATTCGGAAAGCAAAACCATTACATAATAAATGGTAGGTAAGAACATGAAATTTGCTGAAATCTTTGAGTATTCTTAGTTAGGCATCACAGCAGTGTATGATCCTGAGGGAAAGGGGTGATAGACGTTTTCAAGCCCGCTATATTCATTCGATGAAACCTATCTCACTGCAGAACTTTTCACTAATAGAAGTTCAGTAGTGCCAAAATTGATTTTAAAGACAAGATTCCCTGTTTTCATGTTAAAATTCTTAATTAAATTAAACTGCCGTGTTCAAAAAGGTACGCGTGGGGCGCAATATCGAAACCTACTAAATCTGTCGGCTTCATAGCAAGAACCGCGTTCGGAAGTTCTGATAGTCTCAAAATTACGCGATAGTTTCAAAAACGTGTACTAATAATCTTTCATAGATATCAAACATGTGTTGTCGGTGTAAAATCTACAATATCCTAAACCACTTCTTAAGTAAGTTTTTATCGTGATACTCGATTGGGCAACAGTAAAATGAACGTTCACACCCAATAGTCTCAGTAGAAAAGGTGGTCCGTTATCTAAACTCCATCATCCTGTTAAAGGTTGATCTCGAGCTTCTGCAATAAGATTACTTCTATAATAAAAAAAAGAAAACTACAATAATTGGTTTTCTATCAATCAATCTATCTAATCAATCAATCTATCTGTTATCTAGCTGATCGATTACACCAGTAAGTAATCAGTAAAATGATTATTCACGCCACTTTACAATTACTTAAAATATAATCCATTGTAGATGCGTAGTTTTTTTTACAAGGGCAAAGCTAGCTGTTGGCGGTTAGAATTAACTCAGGTGAAGTGACAAGGGAACGGACTGGGTTGAATATCGTTACTTGAGAATTGAAATGCCCAAAAAGGCCCGTAGATAAGCAATTCGAATATATATATATATATTGCTTTAATTCATTAGCCAAAAAATAAATGTCTTCTATTGGTTTTGAAGTTCGCCCTTACGTACTAACTCGATCCGTTACCATGGTTTTGACTATGCTCTCAATAGCGGATATCGTACCGGCAAAATTATGTAATATAGTAGTTTTCGGATAAAACAATTAAATATCCGCAATCTATTTTCCCTCTTGTGGTCAGACGTCTATCCTATGTCTCTAACAGTGTGAGAGGAAATTTAGAAGTAACCTTTTCAACTAATACGTTATGGTTGAATATTTCATGAATACACAGGGGGGGGGGGGGGACAACTAGAGCAATGGAGTATAGCATATATCTTTATATTTGAGGGGGTTCGTGCATGTATGTATGTTATAATTTAAATAGCATTACAGTACCGTGTACGGGAACCATCGTACATACAGCGGTACATTGTTGTGCAGTCAATTGACTCGAAAAAACAATACGAATCTCGCTCCGTTGGCCATTCTGCGCCCGGATCAATCCGAGATTTTGTCAACGTGCACAGCAGCGCGTTAACGATTATGGCAATAGTAACCTCTAGTAATCGCCCGCTGAGCTGGTGACACTTATAGGAATTCCCCTGGATTCGTATTGCTACCGTAAAGTTTATCTCCAAATTAGGAAATAATAAGGCCAATAGACAGATGGCACTAGCAACTGCCACCACGAAACAATAGCGGCAGCAAAAATATCAGCAGCACCAATAACAAGCCTAACGTCGACCACAAAAATAGCCGCAAGGCCATCAGAAAAGATTGGCAACGGCCCTCATTGTCACAGCAACATGCAAACTACTTCCCCGTTGAAAATCTAGCACGTCGACGTACGTTTTTTTTTCGTGACTGGCACATGGCAGCCTTTCGAATGACACCGTGCACAGGGTATTACTACTATAGGAAGGAACTGAGCGATAGAGTACAGCATATTTCGCACGTATCGCAGCAATCACGTCTTTAGAGGGTCGAGTTGTTCATTGGAGTACACAATACAGTATTTGTATCAGAAAGCGAATTGTTTGATAAGAAGTACTGTGATTAGGTTGTGATGAGGCAAAATGTTATGGGCCTTTGAAGTTCAGGCAAAGTAGTGTTTGGCGAAGTCATCCGATGAGTCTGATGAGCTCGCCTTCATTTTCGTGGCAGACATCGATTCGAGAGTAAAGCCGAATTGACCAAATAGCTGAGTATAGTGCCAGGAGCGATTCCTTTAACCCATTTGAAAACAACAACTACTTTTATATGTAGCCGAACTGGTCTTTTCGGCTGATAACAATAAGTTATGATTTGAATCTGTCTAAAGTTAAACTAAAATTCACTGAGATAGAAGAGATTCTGGAGCTTTCTTCTTCTAAAGTAGTTTAGTTTGCGCCTTGGAGATCTACCAACTGTCATCTCTGTATGGTCGTGCTAGATTCATACAATACGTGTTTACGTCTTGAGTAACGTACTAACTGATGTCCGATCGGTATCGATCAAAATTGTTCCCATTCAAATACCTAATTCGCTCTTTTGGGCTGCCAAAACTTTCTACTCCATACGATACTCTATTCGAATATAAATTTTACGGGGTCAAAAAAGTATTGGCGTTTTTTAAATTTAATTCTTGTATTTCAAAATTACTAAATTAAAGTTCACCATTTGAATCGCAGTCCCTGTAGCTGTTTTTATACAACATAATCTCATCACTGTGGTACTTTGCTAGTTCCTCGGATAGTAAAAAATTACGAAGAATGATTTTTGCATCCCTCCATTGAAACTAAATTAACATCGTCAAAGCAGCTCCGCAGAGGCTGAAGCAGATGATATTCGGGTGATGCAAGACCAAGGCTTTATGGCAAACTCATGAAAATTACCCGTAGAGGTTCTTTTAATTTCTTCTAAGCAGCTAAATATGTATATGGTCCAACATTGTAACGAAGGAAGAAGGCTTCGGTGTCGATCTTTTTCGGTGGCCTGTTGTAATCTTTCTCGTTGTCGAGAGGTAGAGGCCCAATTCCATCGTTCAACCAGGTGGTGGCAATTCCAATCCCAGTAGACACGTGGCATAATTTTTTCTAAGCATCTGTTTGAGCTTTGCCAAACAATGTAAAGCATATTTAATAATTTTTTTCTATGTGCAGATCATTGTCGTGTGCGATCAACAGTGATCAACCGCTTTAGAAGTGGTTCGCGGAAAGTTCGTGGAAGAGAAAGTTTCGCATATAAATATACGAGCGAATAAACTGGTGTACGTGGCGTCCAAGTTCTATTTGGTCAAATGGTTTGGCGGTCAATCTTTAGTCCCTTAACAATATCATGGCTATTTACGTATTTATCGGGTCTTGCCCAGCTTTAGCAAGAATACTACCGATGCTTTTGTAATTGGTCGACCAGCACGGACAGTATCTTTCACATCAAAATTTCCAGAATGAAGACGGCCGAAGCATCTTTGGGCCGTTTCCTCTGATAGTGCGTCTTGACCATAAGCAGCGTATCTTTTTTGTGGGCCCTCATCGTAATAAGACTGTAAAATATTACGATTCTTTGCAGAAATGTCACTCATCTTGAAGGCGCTCTAGCCAAGTCGAAATAAAAGTAGTTCAGCCACTTTAGCGCTCCTACGACTGCCGGCTCTTGTCTTTCAAATGGTAGCAACGTCGACGGAACGCACTTCCACACATTCCAGGCAATGTGAGGAAGTTTAGAAATCTACCTAGAACAACCGTCAATACTTTTTCGACGAGCCAACAATAACAAGTTATGCAAGTTCGTACGTCGTCAAATGCACTTAGAGAACTGGGGGTCAGGCTGATTTGTGTGGCGGCCAGTGTCGACGGGTTTGTCTATTGCAGCAATTTCCCACAGAAGCCCTATCCAGCACTTGGTAATAGCCAAACGTTTGCCAGCAGACAGCAACGCAGTCACTTTCCTTCGGTTCTGCCGTAGCTCATCCTGCTCGTTCACCCAGCAGCTTTATCGTCGTTGGAGCTGGCCAAAATGGTGAAAATTGCAAGGAATTTAATCTGATGGCTTCTACTCGTCTAACGCAGAGGCCAGCTGCTCCTCTTCCTTAGCGGGAAAACTACCGCTACCATTTCCATCGTCGCCGGAAAAAAGAAAGCCAGTGAAGGTATCTCGGGGGTTCCGTGCTGTACACTTCGAGTCCGGGCACGAAGGGGCAAGAAACAACATGCTACTGATCTCGACGGTGCCAGTCGTTTTGGCGAGAGTATATTGCAGATGGATGCACTATCGTCACTGGATGGAGATCGAGTCCTTTTTAGGGGTGTCCTAAGATGTGAGGCGGTGGTAAGGATGAGATGTGCCACTCGCCGACTAGCGGCTTTGAGGGTGAAGGTAGTTTTCAGTTCCCATCACTTCACACATTCTTTGCATTCCGATCGATCGTCGGATGGGGTTGATACCCCTACCCCGCCGTTGTGCGCGTTGTTCACGTTCATAGTGCGCCTTAGGGGTGTATCCATCTGCATTCATGTAGGATGGCGACTGTGTGTCCAACGTTA